TGAGCGTCTGCCTTCAGCCCAGGGCGTGATCCTGGAGACCCCGGAGTCCCACATCGGGCTCCCTGCAGGGAGCCTGCTTCTTCCCCTGCCTATGTCTCTGCCCTTCTCTCTCTCTGTGTTTCTCATGAATAAATAAATAAAATCTTTTTTTTTTTAATTTTATTTTTATTTTATGATAGTCACAGAGAGAGAGAGAGAGAGGCAGAGACACAGGCAGAGGGAGAAGCAGGCTCCATGCACCGGGAGCCCGATGTGGGATTCGATCCTGGGTCTCCAGGATCGCGCCCTGGGCCAAAGGCAGGCACCAAACCGCTGCGCCACCCAGGGATCCCTAAATAAATAAAATCTTTAAAAAAAATAAAAATAATCTTTAAAAAAAAAGATTTTATTTATTTATTGACAGAGCGTACACACAAGGGAAGGGGAAGGCAGAGAGAGAGGAAGAAAGAGACTCTCTACCTGGGGCTCCATCCCACGACCTGAGCAAAGGCAGACCAGACACTTAACTGATTGAGTCACCCAGGTGCCCCTGTCAAGCTTTTGAATTCCTTACAAGTTATATGCCCCAAGTCACATTGATCTGTTGTCAGAAATTATTTTTTGTTCCTTTATTTTTGTTTAAAACAAATGACTGGGCAGCCCCAGTGGCCCAGCGGTTTAGCGCCACCTTCAGCCTGGGGTGTGATCCTGGAGACCCTGGATCGAGTCCCACGTCAGGCTTCCTGCATGGAGCCTGCTTCTCCCTCTGCCTGTGTCTCTGCCTCTCTCTCTATCTGTAATGAATAAATAAATAAAATTTTAAAAATAAATAAATAATAATAAATAAAACAAATGACTATCACCTGACTTGCAAAAGGATGCAACCCAGTCATATTAAAGACATTTCTCAGTCTCAAATGTTCCCCCAAAAAAGCCTTTGCCCAAACTTATCAAAAGAAATTATACTTAAAAAAAAAAAGAAAGAAAATTATACTTGTAATTCTTTCACTTGGTTACCTTATTTAATCCAGAGCACTCCAAATGGTTGGAGACCCCTGAGTGTTGCTTATTTCATTACGCCTTTGCCGATATGATATTTTTTGACAAAAAGACTTAGTTTATGTGTATTTCAAATCCATTTTCTTCAAAAACATGGAGCTACAGTTTTGGCCTACAGTTTTCCATCTAATTTATGGAACATGTTCATCAAGTTAATGGTACATCCTAGGGAGGAGTATTGAGACTGGCTGAGAATAATTACGTGTATGCATGGGGAAAAATGTTTTAACCTTCTAAATTCAGGCTAGCCGCAGAAAACTAGAGACCAGGGGATCCCTGGGTGGCTCAGCAGTTTAGCACCTGCCTTCGGCCCGGAGCGTGGTCCTGGAGTCCCGGGATCAAGTCCCACATCTGGCTCCCGGCATGGAGCCTGCTTCTCCCTCTGCCTGTGTCTCTGCTTCTCTGTGTGTATGTGTGTGTGTGTGTGTGTCTCTCATGAATAAATGAAATCTTTAAAAAAAAAAAACAACAACAACTTAAAAAACCACTCCAAGACCAGGTTTTCTTAACTGAGTACAGTAAAGCAGTGAGAGATTGGACGCTCTTCATGTTTTGGGTGACTTGAAGGAGGCTTCACTTCCACTTGGTGTTGTGACTCTCTGGACCCCAGGTCCATGTGATACAGTTTTGAGTAGTGTTGTTGGTGAGGTCCAGGGAGCCAATGGTCAAGAAAGAATTTTTTTAAAATTTTTATTTATTTATTTATTTATTTATTTATTCATGAGAAACAGAGAGAAGCACGCTCCCTGCAGGGAGCCGGATGCAGGACTCTATCCCAGGACCCCCAGATCACACCCTGAGCCAAAGGCAGACCCTCAACCACTGAGCCACCCAGGTGCCCTGAGAAAGAATTCTTGAGACGTCTTTGGTGCAAAAAGGGGATTTTTTTTTTTTTAATGGGACAGGACCCATGGACAGAAAGGGCTGCTGCACTGGGGTTTATGAAGAATGGTTGGTTATATTCTTGGGAATTGGGGGAGGTAAGGAAAAAGGTGTCCAAAGGGACTTCATATGCTAAAGACGACTCCGGATACCTGAGGCCTTGCTATTGTCAAACTAAGGTTGCTTTTCCCTCTAGGAAAGCATTAGTGTTAGAGGGTTGGGAGCTTCCTGGAGGCGTGTCATACTCTTGCCTGCCTCAAGTATTGGTTAATGGGTTGCAGGTTATAGGGAAATTTAATTTTATTTGCATTCCCTTTTGCCTTGGTTTCCTACATCTTTATGGAGGGGAGGGTGGTGTTAGGGCTCCAGGAAATTGAGACTATGGGTCTCTGGAAGTTAGGCTATTGGTAGCAGGATGCTTTTTCCTTTTAAATCACTAAGACATTGGCAAACCGATGGAGACTCATGTCCTGCAGGACTGTGATCAGTTAACCATAACCGTTTTTTCACTTCCCTTAGATTTAGGGCCACCAGGAGTGCCTGGGGAATATCACAGATATCCCACCTGGGGTGGGAGGGATGCGATGTGTCAGTTAGTGCTCCGTCCTCAGCTTGCCTTCTGCTCCCTCTTCAGATGCATCAGAAGGAAGATGTGGGATAGGGAGTGAATCTATAACCAGGCTGCCAGGACTGGAGTGCAAGAGCATCCTGGCTCTGGGGGTCCCAAACAAGACGAGGTTCAGCCCCTGGCTGCTGGTAAAATCCAATAGTAGAGAAACGAGTGGTGGTGAAACGGGAAAAGAATTTATTGCAGTGTGACAATACCGGGAAGACGGTGGGGTAGCGTCTCAAAGGTGGTCTACAAAGTGCTGAAAATACTGTAGATTTATATAAGAAAAATGTGGGACAAAGGACAGTTGGTATGGGCGAGTGGTCAGGTCACGTTGATCCTTGTCTTGGGTTCAGTCACATGGGATCGGGCTGGCTTGGGGTAGTCCTTATTGCTTGAGGGGGTAGTTTGGGTTCCCATCAGGGGGTGCCTTGCCCACAGTCTTTCGCTGCAGGTGAGAGGCTGGAAAGAATTTAATCAATTAGAAAGTATAGACTGAGGTCAAAGTGGAAGTGAAGGAAGCCCTCTTTCACATGGGGCTAACCTGTAGAGCTGTGAACTTGAGGGGCAGAAAGGATCTCTTTCAAACACCTGGGCTTGCCTGGCGCTCGGCACATCCCTGTTCTGATGAGCAGAGCTCTGGTTTACAGATCTGGCGTGGTGTCTTCTTCAGTAAATCTTTACAAACTGCTTCTATGTTTATTGACCTATTCAGGGTTTCACCCTCCTCTTAATGAGGTTTTACAATTTTTTTCTTTGCCAATTAACCAGTCCATTAACACTTGGAATTTATAAATGGAATACATAGGATTCTTTCAAAATTTAAAATAATTACACCACCCCCACCCATTTAATCAACCCATTTTTCTCTGTTGAAACGTCTAGACCGATTTTTCTTTCCCAGCAGCTTTCGTGGGTGTTTTGAGAGACTTTAGAATTTTTAGTCCCAGGCTGTTGGAAGTCTCAATAATATTTATTTACTTAATACCTTTATTATAAATTCACGATCATATGGTTCTCTTTGATGTAGCTATGTGTGCGCTCTTTTAACTATCTATATGGACTTTTTTGTTGTTTGTTGTTGTTCTTAAGATTTTATTTATTCATGAGAGACACAGGCAGAGAGACATAGGCAGAGGGAGAACTTTTCTTGCAGGGAGCCCGATGGAGGACTGGATCCCAGGACCTCTGGATCACGACCTGGGCAGAAGGCATATGCGCAACCACTGAGCCACCCAGGTGCCCCTATCTTTAGGTTTATATTAATGATAATGAAGGCAAACAGCTATCAGCAAAGGATTCCTATCAACATTACTTTATACAGAGTATATAGTTCAAAGGACAATTGAGCAAGAAAGTTAAAAGGTTTCCCATGCTGCTTTCAGAGTCCTGGCAGACAACAAACATGGAAAGCTATTTAACCTCAGTAGTAGACAGGTGCCCGCTGGCAGGACGCGACTCCACCCCTACCCCCGCGTCAGGATGGGGTGCGGAGGACTTGGGGTCCTTCCCCCGCCAGGACTCGTGCACAGCGTGGAGTATCTGATACTGATAGCTCACAAACTTTTTTCTTTTTTTTATTTTTATTTACGATAGTCATACAGTGAGAGAGAGAGAGGCAGAGACACAGGCAGAGGGAGAAGCAGGCTCCATGCACCAGGAGCCCGACGTGGGACTCGATCCCGGGTCTCCAGGATCGCGCCCTGGGCCAAAGGCAGGCGCCAAACCGCTGCGCCACCCAGGGATCCCCATCACAAACTTTTTTTACTCTCAACGCAAAGCAACATTAATGGGAGTTGAAGTGGAAACGTAGCTGAGTTCTTTTCTAGCGGTTTGACATACCAAAAAAAAGCGTAAAACTCCTGTTTTCCACTGTGGCTCAGGGGCAGAGGCTTCCTTGGAAGCACTTGAGTTGACACCGTCGGAGTAAACAGGCTCCGGGGACCCGGAGTGGACGCGCCCAGCTGGAGGCCACGCCCACGAAGCTCCCGGCGGCAGTTTGCAATATCGCGCCGGGAGCTTCGTGGGCGTGGCCTCCAGCTGGGCCCGTCCAATCGGGATGTCCAGCGGCGGAACACTTGCTCCCCAGCTCGCCTTCTAGCTTGGGGCGGGCTTTCTGGAGTTTGGCGCCTTCCATTGGTCGAAAATGAAATGCTGGGTGAAATGCCAATCGCGGTGGGTCTTAGTAGGGCTGTCGCCTTAGCAACGCGCGGAGCCGCCTGGGAGAGGTCTCCGGAGCCTGACCGGAGAGCGGCTCAGGTGCCCAGGTGCAGCCGTGACCTCCAGGAATCAGAGGCGGGTTGGCGGCGAAGCCCAGTTATCCGTCCAGCCTCACGTCGGCGCTGCGGACACATCACCTGCCCCCTGCCCTCCCCCCCCCCCCCCCCCGCCTGGCCGGTCCTGACCAACCTCCTCACCGCGGACCACCGTCAGTCCACTAACGAGGCTGTCCTGATTTCTGCCCCAACAGCTTCCAGGTGCCAGATGATGGAGGAGCGTACCAACTTGATGCACATGATGAAACTCAGCGTCAAAGTCCTGCTCCAGTCTGCCCTGAGCCTGGGCCGCAGTTTGGATGCAGACCATGCCCCCTTGCAGCAGTTCTTTGTAGTGATGGAGCACTGCCTCAAACACGGGCTGAAAGGTGAGCCTGAGAGGGCGTTCGGAGTCCGGTAGTTGGGGCCAGCTGTGTGCTCGGCACGTATTCATCAGTGCTGGGCATTGTTCTGGATGCTGGGATGACAGCAGGGTGCAAAACAGGCGGGGTGCCCGCTCGCCAGATCCGACGCCAGGAGAGCAGCACCGTCCGTCCGAGGGGAAATGCCAGGCATGCGGCATGTACAATATTTAGCGTTCTGGTAGCCACGTTAAACGATAAATAAATAAAAAGAAACAGCTGACATTAATTTAAGAGCACATTTTATTGCCCCAGTATATCCAAAATATTATGATTTTGACACTGAAGCAGTATTTAAAAGCCTTATTGATGAGATATTTTATTTTAAATTCTACTTCATTCTACTAAGGCTTAAAAACCCATCATGTGTTGTTTCATAGCTCATCGCAATTGCACTGGCTACATTTCAGGTGCTCAGGAGCACATGTGGCCAGTGACTCTCGCAGACAGCACAGTTCTAAGGGACCAGACAGACAATAAACCCAGAAACACACTAATTACAAAATGCTACACATCCAAGGAAGCAGCAAGGGTTTTGGCTATAGTGAGAGGGGAGGTCTTGCTGGCGGAGGTGGGGGGGGTGAACTATGAGCTGAGACCTAAAGGAGAAAGAGCTGTGCAGAGATTTGGGGCAAGAGCATGCCTTGCAGGGGTGGGGAGAAACAGGTGGGCAGAAGTTCTGGGTGAGACCAAGCTTGGTTTGAGGAAGATGCCAGTGGGTTCTGGGGAAAGTGGAAAGAGATGAGGTCAGGGAAACCAGTTGGCCAGGCGGGGAAAGGCTGGATCATAGAAGCCATTATAGGTCATGTGAGGAGTTAAATTTTATTCTAAGTATATGTCTGCAGGATTTTAAGCAAAGGAAAACTGACCTGACTTAAATTTTTAAAAGAACTTCCACGTGTGTGAAGAGATTGTGAAGGGAGGGGGTGGCTATATTAGGAGCATGGAGACCCACTAGGTTATTGGCAGCAGTTCAGATGAGAGATGGTGGTGCTGATATGAAATCCAGCACTGATGTTGGTATCAGGTAGGATTTAGAAAGGGGAAGGATTTCTATAAGCTGTATACGTTTACATATATACTTGTTTTATTTCATTGGAGTAAGAGGATAGTCAGGATATCACAGAAACCCTGTCACCAGAGAAAGGAGAGGTCATTTGTTAACCTTTGAGTCCCCAGGACTAACTCAGAATTAGCAGTAGAGCTGTGAATTGTCCATTTGGCTTTTGGGAGAGACTGTGGGCGCCTGAGGACATTTTTACAACCTGTTCTTATGAATAACACTTTTGTTTTCCCTTTTAGTTAAGAAGAGTTTTATTGGCCAAAATAAATCTTTCTTTGGTCCTTTGGAGCTGGTGGAGAAACTTTGTCCAGAAGCAGCAGATATAGCCACTAGTGTCAGAAATCTGCCAGAATTAAAGTGAGTGACAAGTAGTTAACACTGAATTAATGTTTAAAAAAAACTCCCTCGTATTTACCAATTTCTCAATTCCTTGCTGATAAAAACTTTTTTCTGATTTAGAACAAATCGTAACATGAGCCATATTCCACTTAAACTTCAGTCCCAGCTCTGCTGCTCATTATCCTCAGGATTTTGAGTCAAGATTTGCCCCTCCCTGAGCCTCAGTTTCCTTATCTTTAAAATGGGGACAGCAATTCCTATATGTCAAATGAGGTTGTATAGTTTGAAAAAGTGTGGGGCACCTGGCTGGCTTAGTCCATAGAGCACTTGACTCTTGATCTCAGGATCATGAGTTCAAGTCCCATGTTGATCATAAAGATTATTTTTTTTAAAAAAAAAGGGCACCTAGGTGACTCAGTGGTTGAACGATTGCCTTTGGCTTGGGTCATGATTCCGGGGTCCTGGGATCAAGTACCACATCAGGCTCCCTGCAGGGAGCCTCCTTCTCCCTCTGCCTATGTCTTTGTCTCTCTGTATGTGTCTCTCATGAATAAATAAATTATTTTAAAAAAGGAAAGATGTTGTCACCTGAGGAGCAACTACAAGAGTAAAAGAGGTCATCCTTATGCTCTTGGAATCCATGCTTTGGATGCATCTGGGCAGTTTTCTGAATAATATAATTCAGGCCAGATTTTAGATTATGAGACATGGGACATTTGTAAAAAACTGAGACTGACAAATCATTTGCCATGTCTGGGTTTGCCCTTGGGATCCCCATGCATAGGTTCAAAATAAAAAAACCAGATAGACTACAAACAAGGCGTCATCATGAAATCTGCATTTAGAGGGGGAAGTAGAGATCCTTGGGCCCATGCAGAAGAGCAGTCTTCAGTCTCCCAGAGGGGGACACCGCTGTCCAGCCTCTGATGCTTCTCCTGTAGAGCCATCCTGTTCCATCTTCAGGTAGTAATATAGCATTTACCAAGAGCCTGCCGTGTGCCAGGCATTGTGTTAAGGACATTGTAGGATCTCATTTAAACCCACACAACAGAGTCTCCAGGAAAGCTGTTGGCATCCCCACTGATAAGTTCAGAAACTGACACTGAGCAGCTAAGTAACCTGCCCAAGGTCCCTTGGCAAGGGAATGGTGGAGCCAGGAAGGGAACACAGCTCCGTGGGACTCGAATCCTCTAAATCCCACTGACCTCCATTGCTACGGAGCCCTGTGCAGTCTTCTCGATGAAATTGAACCTCTGTCCCTGTCCGTAGTTCAGCCCTCGGGCCTGTACCACAGAAGGCAAAAGCCTTTTGCACCATGACAACATTCATATACGTATTTGTTGACCTCTCAGGAGCTCCCCAGGTCTGCTTTGTTTCAGCAGTTCCTTCTGTGGTCCTGCTGCCCAACCCTTCTGACCAGCTCACCCCCCCTCATGAGTGAAGCAGTAGAGATGGAGTTCCAGCGTGTCCAGGTTGGAGCAGACCTGGGTTGGCTCTCCTACCCTCAGACCTCTGTTTCCAGTTATGCATGGGAGGCATTTTCAAAGTCTTATGCTAACAAAGAGCACTAAACCCCACTACCTCTGTTCCCTTTATTGCTCTGTGGCTGTGCACAAGTGATAGGCTTAGGTATGGAAATCATCCCCTGTCGCCAAAAAGGAAACGTACAGTAGTTCCCTTCTCTTGAGGCCTCCAGAGGAGTAGTCTCTGTGAGAGAGGTATTTCTTTCACTCTTTCATTAAATAGTAACCTTCTGAAATTTTGACATTATTTTGGAGGTTATGACTAGTGTTTTTTGGGGTGGAAGGGTTGTTTGAAACTTGCAGGATGCATTTTGTATCCTGAGAGGAATCTCTAGTCTGGCGTTTAGTCCCCCTAATTGAAATGAAAATATCTTTTGCAGTATGACCCCATGACCCAAAATTTTTCATTGTTTTCAAGTCAGTTTTTTTGTTTGTTGTTTTTTTAAGGTTATTATTTATTAGAGAGCATGGGGCAAAGGAGGCACAGGGAGAGGGTAAAGCAGGCTCCCAACTGCGCAGGGAGCCTGATGTGGGGCTCGATCCCAGGACCCCAGGGTTATGACCTGAGCCGAAAGCAGATGCTTAACCCACTGAGCCACCAGGCACCCCACAACATCATTTTTGAGGTGCCTGCATGGCATTCATTTATATAGCTCATTTGTTTAACTGCCATTTGGGCTTTCTGCTTGTCTTCAGTTTTTCATTATCCAAAGAGTGTGCAGACCATCACCACACATACATACATGTGCATCCTAAATTATTTCCTTAGTACACATTACTAGACGTAGGATTTTGATAACCCCATCAAATCGCCAGCTCAAGGCATGCTGCCGATTTACATGGCTGGCATGCTGCAAGTGTCTGCATCCATTCACCACATGGTGCCAACTTTCAGCATCTTTCTTTTTTCTACTTTATTTCCTTTCCTTTTTACTCTGGTTTAACCTCATTTGTTTGGGGGAGGAGGGGCTTCAAAGCCTTTTGTATTGATGGAGTTGGATTAGATGCGCCTGGCTCTGAACCCCTCAACCCCCACAGCTCCCTTTGATGAAGATACTAAATACACTCATTCTGCTTAGAATAGAGTCTTTCTTTTCTCAAGCACTGTTAGTTCTACAGTTGGGAAGTTTTTTGTTTACTCTTGATGCGTGCCTTTGCAAAATTATCTCTAAGATTGGTTGCACAACAGCATGAATGTACTAATGAAGGGTACACATGAAAAGGTAAATTTTAGGGGCACCTGAGTGTCTCAGTGGTTGAGCATCCACCTTTGGCTCAGGTCATGATCCCAGGGTCCTGGATGGAGTCCCACATTGGGCTCCCTGCAGGGAGCCTGCTTTTCCTTCCACCTGTGTTTCTGCTTCTCTCTCTGTGTGTGTCTTGAATAATGAATAAAATCTTAAAAAAAAAAAAAAAAAGGAAAGGCAAATTTTTATTCTGTGTATTTTACAACTAAAAATAAAACTGCATCTTTGAGCTAATGCCTAGAAATGTGAGGGTTCAACACTGTTTTACGTATTAATTTTTTTTAAGAATTTTTTTTTTTTTTTTTTTTTTTATGATAGAGACAGAGAGAGAGGCAGAGACACAGGAGGAGGGAGAAGCAGGCTCCATGCAGGAAGCCCGACACGGGACTTGATCCCGGGACTCCAAGATCGCACCCTGGGCCAAAGGCAGGCGCCAAACCACCGAGCCACCCAGGGATCCCCTACGTACTAATTTTTTAAAGAAATGTTTATCCATTATACAGACCTAACCAGATTGTTGCTGGCCTCCTGTGAAATTTTATGAATACATGCAAAGTTTTATCTAATTGTGTTTATTCCAGAAATCAGATTTTTTTGTGGCGTAAGAGTTTTTTTTTCTCTTGTCAAAACCAACCAACCAACCAAAAATACATGTCCATGATACAAAATTCAAACCGTACCCAGAGGTTTTCAGAAAGTGGTTTTCTGGGCCTTCCCAGACTGTGCTCCACCCAGGCCCCAAAGCTGCTATTCTTACGGTGTCCCTGCGTTAACACACGTGTACATGCTGGGATATGTGTATCTCTTTAGATAACTGAGGTGTTTGAGGGGTTTTGGTGTTACGCCTTAACAGTTCAATTCTCTAAATTCCAGGACAGCTGTGGGAAGAGGCAGAGCCTGGCTGTATCTTGCACTCATGCAAAAGAAACTGGCAGATTATCTGAAAGTGCTCATAGACAATAAACATCTCTTAAGGTATTTTACCTCCCATCTTTGCTTGTCTTTTGCTTTGTAAATATTTAGAACATAGTTCTGGAGACTGTTTTGAATTAAAACAAGTGTACAGCATACACAGCTTTTACTCGAATTACTGTTCATCGTGAGCATCCTATGGCTTAGTTTTTAAAGAGTTTCATTTTCAAGCATGGCTATCTGAAAGTCATTATGAATGAAGTTTCATATTTTCATTTTGAAAAATCATTTCAGTACTTGACAGCCTACTCGATTAAGCTTCAACAAAATGTACATATTGGATTTGTTGATGACATGGGGGACAAATGACTTTAAAACTAGGTGCAGTGGATAATTTTAAAGTATAAAAGCCTGCTTTTTTGTAAGGGAACATACCTATAATAGTACCTATTTTAGGATTCCATATCCATTTTGTAAAATTTTCTCTCAGCATCAGTAATGACTAATTGGCTGTCCCTGGAATTTATGACTAATTCATTTTAGATACTAATAAATATATATAAACAAAAATAATCCTCCTAAAAGGGGTTTTTTTCAAGAATATGAAAATTTGTAAGGGAGGAATCTTTCTAGAGTTCATTTTTTTGTGTGATTGAGTCAAAAATATCTTTTACATACGGCTTGCCACTCAAAATTTTTCATCATTTTCAAGTCACAGCTTATTGTTGAATGTATCTTTGCATGATAAATACAGATTTCAAACACTTCTTCAAATACTTTGTGTACTTGTGCTTTGAGTACAATCACACTGAGTAACTTTGAGGTACAGATTGTGTTCTAGTGAACTAATTCTTTTTTTAATTGAAGTGTAGTCAATATCTAATGTTAGTATCAGGAATACAACAGAGTGATTCCACAAGTCTTCGCTGTTATGTTGTGTTGCATAGCTACCAGCTGTCACCATACAAAGTTATGCTAGTACCATTGACTACATTCCCTATGCTGCACCTTACATCCTCATAACCTGCTGAACTAACCCTTAAGACACCAAGTTTCTCAGCAGTCACACACACACATATACAATGGATAAACAAGCACATCATTGGTGACCTAGAGCAGTAGTAGACGGGATGGAGCCACACTGCGAAAGTTGAAGCAACTGGGAAGTGAAGTCAGAGCAGCCAGTGTTGCTCCATGGAACACAGGGAAGAGGGAAGGGTTTCATTCTTGGATGTGGGGGAGCAGTATGGGATCCTTCTTTCTCATGAGTGTAGACATAGTTCATAGCAGTGTGGAAGAAGACGCCAGTGGGGACAGGAGGGGCAGAGTGATGATCAGGAACACAGGAGCCAAGAGGAGATAGGAAGGACTGGGGTCTAGGGTCCAGATGGAAGAGTCAGCCTCAGACTGGAGGTGGGAGGAGCCTATCATCAGCCACAGGAAGAGAAAAGAAGCCAGAGAAGAAATAGCACTCAAAGCAGGGGTGGGAGATAAAACGCAGAAGGCAGTAAGTAAAAGATATCAGGGAGTTTGTGGCATCTGGTGAAGGTGGCTGAGAGGTGAAAAGGCAGGGCAGGGGATACCTGGGTGGCTCCACGGTTGAGCATCTGCCTTTGGCTCAGGTCATGATCCCAGGGTCCTAGGATTAAGTCCTGCATCAGGCTCCCCCCCACCCCCGGGGAGCCTGCTTCTCCTTCTGCCTATGTCTCTGCCTTTCTCTGTCTCTCTCATGAATAAAATAAAAAATAAAATAAAATAAAATAAATAAAATAAATATAAATAATAAAATAATAAATAATAAATAAAATAAAATATAAAAAATAAAATAATAAATAAAATAAAATAAATACTAAAATATAAATAAATAATAAAATAAAATATAAATAAATAATAAAACAAAATATAAATAAATAATAAAATAAAATAAAAATCTTAAAAAAAAAAAAGGCAGGGCAAGTCGGGGGGGGGGGTGGTGAGCACCCGTTCCTGAGCCTGTTGTGTCCATCTCTTTCAGTGAGTTCTATGAGCCTGAGGCATTAATGATGGAGGAAGAAGGGATGGTGATTGTTGGTCTGCTGGTGGGACTTAATGTTCTTGATGCCAATCTCTGCTTAAAAGGAGAAGACTTGGATTCTCAGGTAGGACGGGAATCTTGGCTCAAGGTAGAATGCCTCCATTGGGCTGGGGATTTCACACAGGACTGTGGGCTTGTGCTGGACCTTCTCAGGGGCAGATGGCAGAGGGTATTTGCTTGAAGGCTGTGCCAGGTGCCATGCCAGGGCAGAGGGGGAAACACTGGGGAAGGGGAAGTCTGGGCCAAGGCACAGAGGCATACGTAGGTGGAAGCTGGGCTCAGTTTTCAGGCTATCTGTGCCATGCTAAAGGCCATCCTTTTGTCTCTGGAACGTCAGGAAGCTGTTGGAGGTTTTTAGGCAGTGTGTACTGGTCTACTTAGGGCCAGGTTTGAGAAAGATCAATCTGGCAACCATCTAGGTCATGAGTTGGAAGTGGCCAAGAGTGGAGACAGCAAAAACATTGGGCAGACACGTCCCCCAAGATTAGGTGGGGACTGGGAAGTTAGAGCCAGGAGAGACTGGGAAGGGGAGATGATGCAAGAGCGCTAAATGGAAGCAGGCATCAAGGAGCAGAGCACCCTGACTGTGGGGACAACCCTCTTGGGATGCTTTCTTCCTGCCTGGGTGCAGGTGCCCAGGGCTAGGGCCTCAGCTGGTGGTGGGGACGGGAAGTGCGTAAGGGGAAGAGACCCCCTGATGCCTCCCCACCGCTACCCCTTTTCAGGGCACAGATCTGAGAAATCTGTAGCTTCCCCTAATCCCTCCATGCCAAGGCCAGCTTTTGTTTCTTTTTCTTTTTTTTTTTTTTCTTGTAAACTCTCCTCCCTTTTTCTCCAGTAGTTTTGTTGTTTCTGCATGTTGAAAATTTTTCAAAAAATACAGGGAAGTATTTTTGAAGGAAAGAAAACCTCACACAATCCCATTGCTCAGAGACAGCTAACTAATTTAATGTTACACTCTGATATCTATCCTTCTGGCACATAAGTAAGATTGTGTATGTGTGTTTATATATTCTAGAGATATTTGGACTTTTTTTGTTAAACCAAAACATAATTATTCTGGGCACACCGTTTTGGAATTTATTTTTGTTTAACACTATGTCCCACATGGCTCTCAATGTCAGTGAGAGATATGAGCCATTTAAATGGCTGCACAGTACAAGCATGGCTCAGACTGCAGATTGGGTTCCAGACAACTGCAGTAAAGTAAATATCGCAATATGGGAGTCATGGCTTTTTTGGTTTCCCAGTGCATATAAAAGTTATTTTTACTCTATACTATAGCCTATTAGGTATGCGATAGCATTATATATATATATTTTTAAGTGTAAATAAATAATAAAAATAAGCTAAATAAATAGTCCATGTTCATACCTTAATTTTAAAATACTTTCTTGCTAAACAATGCTGACCATCTGAGCTTTCAGCATGTCATAATCACTGATCACAGATCATCATAACAAATGTAGTAATAAGAAAAGTTTGAAATACGTGATGGCCAAAATGTGACCCAGAGACAGGAGGTGAGCACATGCTGTTGAGAAAACAGTGCTGATAACACCTGCCCAACACATGGCTGCCACAGACCTTCAATCTGCAAAAAATGCAGGGTCTGGGAAGTGCTGTAAGGCAATAAAACAAGGTATGTCTGTATTTCATTTACGACCATACTGTAATTTGTTTAACCAGTACCTTGTTACCTGCTGTTGATTCCATATTACAACAGCAATATTATACACAGCCTCATCCTCTTTGCACTGTTATCCATTCATTTTCTTAGGATACATTTTGGGATTACTGTGTCAAAGTAAACATTATACGATAGTATGGTGACATCACAATGAGCATTCTTTTTTCTTTTTTCTTTTTTAATTTATTCATGAGAAACACAGAGAGAGAGAGGCAGAGACACAGGCAGAGGGAGAAGCAGGCTCCACGCAAGGAGCCTGATGTGGGACTTGATCCGGGGTCTCCAGGATCACACCCTGGGCTGCAGGCGGCACTAAACCGCTGCGCCACCGGGGCTGCCCAAAGATTTTATTTTATTTATTCATGAGAGACACGAAGCGAAAGAGAGAGGCAGAGACACACGTGGAGGAGAAGCAGGCTCCATGCAGGGAGCCCGACGTGGACTCACTCCCGGGTCTCCAGGATCACGCCCTGGGCTGCAAGCGGCGCTAAACCGCTGCACCACTGGGGCTGTCCCCACAATGAGCATTCTTGATCTTTTTCAATCTAATAGAGCAAAACAGCTCATCTCACATTCACATTTTGTTATAAGCATGTTTAGGCTTTTTAAAAGATTTATTTATTTATTTTAGAGAGAGACCATGTGCACATGAAGCTGGAGGAGAGGCAGAGGGAGAGGATCTCAAGCAGACTCCCCACTAAGCACAGAGCCTGACACAGAGCTCGAACTCGCAACTCTGACCAAAATCAAGAGTCAGTTGCAGGGCACCTAGATGGCTCAGATGATTAAGCATCTGCCTTCAGCTCAGGTCATGACCTCAGGATCCTGGGATCCAGCTCTGCATTGGGCTCCCTGCTCAACAGGGAGCCTGCTTCTTCCTCTGCCCTCTTGAGCTCTTTCCCTCTCTCTGTTGCTCTCTCTTAAATAAATAAAATATTAAAAAAAAAACTAATTAGGGCAGCCCCCGTGGCGCAGCGGTGTAGCACCGCCTGCAGCCCAGGGTGTGATCTGCATGGAGCCTGTTTCTTCTCTCTCTGCCTGTGTCTGTCTCTGCCTCACTCTCTCTCTTTCTCTCTGAATAAATAAATAAATCTTTAAAAATAAAAAAATAAAATAAATAAAATAAAATAAAACTAATTAAAAAAAGAGTCACTTAACTGGCTGAGCCACCCAGGTACTCCTATTTATTTTTTTAAAGTAGTCTCCATGCTTGAACTCATGACCCTGAAATCAAGAGTCACATGTTCACCAACTGAACCAGTCAGGTGCCCCTCATATTTACATTTTTAAGAACTCTGTAGGTCAGGTATTTATTACATGTTTTATTTGCCATTGGTGGTTCAGTTTTTGTGACTCCACGTCCCAATTCCACCCATTTCTCTGAGTCTTCCATTTTGTTCCATTCCTTTATTACACATTAATGATAATAACTGTCAGAATTTGGTTATAGGGCAGCCTGGGTGGCTTAGCGGTTTAGCACCACCTTCAGCCCAGGGCATGATCCTGGAGACCCGGGATCGAGTCCCACTTCGGGCTCCCTGCACACAGCCTGCCTCCCCTTCTGCCTGTGTCTCTGTCTCTCAAAAAAAAATTTTTTTTTTTCTGCTTTCTTTCAGTTAGTTTTCCCTGCAAGGGGGAAAAAATGTTTTTTGCAGTCAAATTTATTTGTTTTTTTCAAAGATTTTATTTTTATGCAATCTCTACCCCCAACCATGAGACTGGAACACACAACCGAGAGATGAAGAGTTGCATGCTCTACTGACCGAGCCAGCCTGGCACCCCTGCAGTCAAATTTAATGGACTTTTTCTTTATACCTTCTAAGGTATTATTCTTGGAAGGTCCTTCTCCATCCAAAAATTAACCTAATTTTTAAAATCAACTGTGTATTTTTTACTTTTTTCTTTTTTAAGTTTTATTAGAGTGAGTGCTTTTGCTGAGGGGTGGAGCAGAGGGAGAAATAGACTCCCCAGTGAAGTGGGGAGCCCGATGCTAGGCTTGATTCCAGGACCCCAAGATTGTGCCCTAAGCCAAAGGCAGAGGCTCAACCACTGAATCACACACGGCCCCTTTTTTCTTTAAATTTAAATAATGCCTGTCAGGAGCACCTGGGTGGCTCAGTGGTTAAGCCTCTGCCTTTGGCTCAGGTCATGATCCCGGGATCCTGGGATCAAGTCCCACGTCGGGCTCCCCACAGGGAGCCTGCTTCTCCCTCTGCCTGTGTCTTTGCCTCTCTCTCTTTCATGAATAAATAAATAAAATCTTTTTTTTTTTAAGATTTTATTTATTTATTCATGATAGACATAGAGAGGCAGAGACACAGGCAGAGGGAGAAGCAGGCTCCATGCAGGGAGCCCGATGTGGGACTTGATCCCGGGACTCCAGGATCACACCCTGGACTGAAGGCAGGCACTAAACCGCTGAGCCACCCAGGGATCCCCCCTTTTTTTTTTAAATAACTTTGTACCCAAAGAACTTTGCTGATCTTTGTCAGCAACTTGATTGTTGAATAAATCCTGACAAGGGGGTGAAATTTCAGAATATCCTCCTTAAATTCTGTTTTTGTTTTTGTTTTTTTTTTAAAGATTTTATTTACTTATTCATGAGCAACACAGACCAAGAGAGAGGCAGAGACATAGGCAGAGGGAGAAGCAGGCTCCATGCAGGGAGCCCGACGTGGGACTCGATCCCGGGTCTCCAGGATCACGCCCCGGGCTGCAGGCGGCGCCAAACCACTGCGCCACCGGGGCTGTCCTAAATTCTGGTTTTTAATAAGTTTTTCTTCTAGAAGGTAGTTGGGTTATTTTTCTCTTGGTTTTCTCTTGGTTCAGTTGGTTGCTATTTTGTTGAGCTGAGTAGCTCAACTAAATGTTTGCACGAAAGAGACAGGAATGTAAATGGCCTGAATTTTAAAGATGTAAGTTTTGTGGAAAACAGGGAAAATTTCTTTTATTTAAACTTGTACATTTTATGTCAACCAGGTTGGAGTGATTGATTTTTCCCTCTACCTTAAGGATGTGCAGGATCTTGATGGTGGCAAAGAGTAAGTACTGCACTGCAGGCTGCTGCTCTTTCCATTTTATGAAATTCTGGCAAAGAACGCTACGTTTGTTTCTGTTTTGTTTGACGTTTTCATTTTCATCAGGCATTTTGAGTTACAGCGGTAATACATTGGCATTCCCATATGCAAGGGATTGAGCTTTGCCGAATAGACTGGACAAGTGAAATGTCCCCGTTTACACTGCCCCCCCCCCCCCCAGCTCAATCCCAGGCTGGCTCCTCCCTAAGAGGAGGCTGCTAGTGTCTCCTCCCACAGCTTTTCTAAATGCCTTGCAGGTATATATTTGTTGGCAGTATAATTTGCCTATGGTTTACATATATAAATATATAATGAATATAAATAGGGTGGTACTATTATATATACATAATAAGTTGCCTTTAGAGTTGTTCTTTGATCCTGGTGTGTCTTGGGTAGCTCTCCCTCATGTTTGTTAATAAGAGCCTCTGCTTTTTTTTTTTTTTTTAAAGATTTTATTTATTTGAGAGAGAGTGCACAAGTGGGAGCAAGGATCAGAGGGAGAGGGAGAAGCAAATTCCCTGATAAGCAGGGAGCCCAGCATGAGGCTCGATCCCAGGACCCTGGGATCATGACCTGAGCCAAAGGCAGACACTTAAACAACTGAGCCACCCAGACACCCCAAGAGCATTCTTTTTAAAGGAGCTATTCTGGGGAAAAAGAAAAGTGAACAAAGCAAGCTATTTGTATTACATGCTATCATTTGTGTTATGATAAAGAATATATATCTATATTTGTATGTTGTACTTCCATACTCATGGACATTTTCTAGAGTAGAATATAGACCTGTCAACAGTGGCTATCTGATGGGGAAGAGGCTGGGAAGCAGGCATGGGAGGGAGTTTCCCTGTAAGTCCTTGGGTTGTATTTAAATATTTTACCACATGCATCTATTACCTGTCTTTTAAATGTCTTCTGATAAGGATTCTCATGGTCTTGGTACCCTAGCACCACGCCTTATCTGGCAGTGAGAATCCCATTAATGTTTTCAGGTGTCTTGAGTTTGAGGATTCAACCACTTGAACCTTAAGCAAAAATACATTCTGGGGGCACCTGGCTGGCTCAGTCGGTAGAGCATATGACTCTTGATCCTGGTGTGAGTTCGAGCCCCACGTTGGTGTAAAAGATTACTTAAAAATAAAAATTAAGGGATCCCTGGGTGGCGCAGCGGTTTGGCGCCTGCCTTTGGCCCAGGGCGCGATCCTGGAGACCCGGGATCGAATCCCATGTCGGGCTCCCGGTGCATGGAGCCTGCTTCTCCCTCTGCCTGTGTCTCTGCCTCTCTCTCTCTCTCTCTCTCTCTGTGTGTAACTATCATAAATAAATAAATAAATAAATCAATAAATCAATAAATCAATAAATAAATAAATATTTTTAAAAAAATAAATAAATAAAAATTTAAAAAAATAGATACATATATAGTCTTAATGTAAAGAAATGGAAATAAACATTATCAACCAATAAGAGAATAATTGAATGAATTATGGAACATTCAAAGTATTCCATTCTGTGATATATTATGTAGACAGAAAAGAACAAATTTGACCTACTGGGTATAGTAGACTTACAGGGATTTCCCCAATGTATAATCGAGTGAGAAGAGTGATGCTTTTCTTGAGTGATGCTGAGAAGTGTATACAGTTGACTCTTTTTTTTTTTTTAAGATTTTATTTATTCATGAGAGAGAGAGAGAGGCAGAGACACAGGCAGAGGGAGAAGCAGGCTCCATGCAGGGAGCCCAATGTGGGACTTGATCCCAGGTCTCCAGGATCACGCCCTGGGCTGAAGGTGGTGCTAAACCGCTGAGCCACCCCGGCTGCCCTATACAGTTGACTCCTGAACAACACAGGTTTAACCTGCACAAACTCACTTATACATAGATTTTTTTCAGTAAGTACAGTACTATTAACTGAGTTTTCCTTATGATTTTCTTTTTTTTTTTTTTAAGGTTTATTTATTTATTTTAGAGTAGGGACAGAAGGAGAGGGAGAGAAAGAACCTCAGGTTGACTCCATGCTGAAAGTGGAGCCTGCTGTGGAGCTCCATCTCAAAAATCCAAGATCAGACCTGAGACAAAACCAAGTCGGCCACGTATCTGATTGTACCATCCAGGCACCCATCCACTTAAGATTTTCTTAATAGCATTTTTTTTGGCTTATTTCATCATAAGGCTGTGGTATAATACACATAACATGCAAAATATGTTAATTGATTACATAATTGGTAAGGCTTCCAGTCGATAGTAGGCTATTAGTAGTTAAGTTTTTGAGGAATCAAAAGTTATATGCAGACTTTCTACTGCTCAGGAATTGGCATTTTTTAAGGGTCACCTGTGTATCATCTTTGTAAACAAACCTGAGAAATTCCTGATAAATTTTTTATGTTTCAATTACATATCTATATAGATAATACAGTCATTGTGATCCTATGCATATAGGCTCAACAGACTACTAAGGTGGGTTACCCTGCAGAGCTACGTGAAGGGCAGAACACAGAAAAAAATTGACCATGCTGAATAATCCAGCACCTGTGTAGAATGAACCCCTGTGTGTACATACAGAAATTGGGAGTGGAAAAGAGCCTAACTTTAAAATGTTAAATAAAGCCTTAAAAAAAAAAAAAAAAAAAAACCAGAGTGGTCAGCTTTATGTTTTGAAAAGCCTCTGGTCTCTTTGGAGCCATCCTCTTTCCATTCAACATGACAAAGGCTGCTTCATCTGCCACCTCAAGGGAGGGCCATTTGCACCTGACCAGGGGTGTTTGCACCTTGTGGTGGTGTTTGCACCTTGTGTTCCAGATGGCTTTCTCCTGGGCTGGGTTGGGGGGGGGGGGTCTGCAGGAGGAGGCCTGTTGATGGTTCTGCATCCCCCAAGGCCCTAGCTGCTGGGCCCGCCCTACCAGCACCTTGCCCACTTTGCTCTCCATCCACTCCTGGATGGGGACCAGGCAGATGTTATTGCTGAGGTCCGATTGTCCCTTGGTTTCTTGATGACACTGGTACTTCCTCAAGGTGACTGGCATGTTGGGGACGGTAATAAAGTATTAGCCATGAGTAAAAGGAATTTCTCTCTTCTTGTGCTCTTTTTAAAAGGCATGAAAGGATTACTGATGTCCTTGATCAGAAAAATTATGTGGAAGAACTTAACCGTCACTTAAGGTAGGACTCACTCCTTCTTCCAACGTTACAGTTCATTCTCGATGCCCGTGTGCTATTTCGGGGAGCATTTGTGACTTGCCGTATGTTCATAACAGACTCTGTCTCCAGACTAAGAGGAACAGTTATCATGCTGTGCTCGTGGTTGCAGACTGGAGAAATACGATTTCTTGACCAAGGAGTTTTGGAAATTCTTTGGTTCTTTGCTGCAAGTAGAGACAGTGTAGAAAGCAACCAGACTAAACCTGTACTCTATACTCCTCAGCCCCCTAGTTGGAAGTCACTGCCACGGGAAGCACTCTTCCCACTGGGAATCAACACACATCCCTCTGGGGTGCCTGGGGCAGGATAATAGGGCTGAAAACCCACCGGGATAGACCTTTGGTGACAATTCAGGAGCAAGTAGCAGACATCTATGCCTTGATTTTTCATTTTAATTGGAAAGCCGCTGCTGTGTTTCATGAAACTCTAGCCGCCAGCGGCAGTGTTGGTGGAGTGGGCAGAGATTCTCAGGCAAATGTGTTTGGGAGACCCATTGCCTTCTTCAGCTCTGAGTCCCCTCAGAGAGTGTGCTGTGGGCATCAGCCCTGCTCCTCGGGAGCTGCTCCCCTGGCCCCAAGTGCCAGCCAAACAGCCAAAGGAGCCAGCATGCCATAGAACATGCCTGCGGAAGGCTGCTCCGAGAGCTGCTTAGGTGTGATGTTGGCAGTTGCTGTGAAAGATTCTTGATAGGTCCTCCATTGATTGTTTTTCTGAGGAACAGATGTCAGATTTTATCAAAGGTCCCTTAGCATTATTAGTGTAATCATGACTTTTATCCCTTAATTTGTTGATGGGAAGTATCTGATTAGTAGATATTTTCATACTGACCCATTTCTGTATCATGGGCATAAACTCTACTTGATCGTAGTTTTAGTAATCATTTTTTTTAATATGTAAACTGACCTAACTGTTCTGTAGTTTTTCCCCTCTGGCATGGTGTCAGAGTTATGCAGCTTCACAGAATGAATTAAGAAGAGCTTCTGGTTTGTGGGCATTATTTGCTCCTTGAAAACATGAAGATGGGGGTGCCCAGCCAGCTCAGTCAGGGGAAGCAGGTGACTCTTGATCTCAAGAACATGAGTTTGAGCCCCATGTTGGGCATAAAGATAACTTTTAAAAACAAAATTTATTTTTTTTAACAGAAAACATGAAATGCAAAACATTTATTGAGGCAGTGCTTTGCCAGCTTTTCAGTTTTTCCTAAGTTGTTTGTTTATCGAGGTCTCTTTCTCCTGAAGATATGTCTTTTTTGGTCATTTTTCTAAGAAAAATATAAATTTTAGTGACATTTTCTAAGTTATATATTTGAAATAGAACTGAAATTGTATATTTTTAAAACTGGTAATTATCAGGGTGCCACCTTTAAAGATAATTTAAAGTCTATTAAAAAAAAAGACTTTATTTGTTTATTCATGAGAGATAGAGAGAGAGAGAGAGAGGCAGAGACACAGGCAGAGGGAGAAGCAGCTCCATGCAGGGAGCCCAACATGGGACTCGATCCTGGGTCTCCAGAATCACACCCTGGGCTGAAGGCGGCGCCTAACTGCCAAGCCACACGGGCTGCCCTCAGCAGCCAACTCTTGATCTCAGGATCATGAGTTCAAGCCCCAGGTTGGGCTCCACACTGGGTGTGGCATCTACTTTAAAAAAAACAAAAACAAAAATCTTGTTATTCCCTCCATATCTTTTGTTTGTGTTCCTCTTTCATTTTGTGTCATTGTGTTTTAATTTCCCCCGCCCCAATGCTTGAACCTTGATTCACTAGCCTTACCAGGTTTCTTTCTTTACCCACCCCCCTGGCAAAAGGCACCAGTTTGGGGCAGTCGAGCCCTTTTACCTAAAAGTATAGGCTCTGGAGTCAGACCACCTGGGTTCACATTCTTGTGCCCCTCCAGACAGAGGGGTATGGACATGAGTGAGTTTTCCACTGTAAATTCCTGTTTCCTTATCTGTGAAATAGGCAGCAATAAGATTTACTCACAGAATTGGAATCATGGGGAGGGTCACGTGAATTGATGCATTTGAAGTGGTTAGAACAAACAGGGCCTGGCACGTCATCCAAAAAGGAAGTTACTGCTCATTATTGTTGCCATTACTTTTATTATCAGGTTACATTTGTTTGACATGTTTTTGAGTAGGAAAATAGTACAGATGGCTTAAAGAATATTTGAAAAACGAGGCAAAGTATAAAAAGATTTAAAAACCACCTTCAATCCTACAACCCCAGAGTACCAATGTCTTGTTATGGATATTGATTGAGATATATGACTGCCAGCACATTTTTTTTGTTCCCATCTATTGTGTTAGGAGGGGAAAAACTATTTTCTTTCTAGTTGGCTAAAAATGAAATGGATAGCATTTTTTAAAGATTTATTTATTTAATGAATAAATTAAATTTATTTAATTTATAAATTAATAAAAATTAATTTATAATTAATTTTGTGGGGGGAGGGGCAGAGTGAGAGGAAGAAGCAGACTCCCCACTGTGGGGGGAGCCTGATGTGGGCTCCATCCCAAGACCCTGAGATCATGACCCGAGCTGAAGGCAGAGACTTAACCACCTGAGCCACCCAGGCATCCCTGGATAGCATATTTCAGGGGAAAGACTTTGAGAGCTTTTCAGTAAATGTGTCCACACGCACACACACACGTGTTTAGAATTCTCCTCTCTTGGTTCGTTGGAGATCCTCAGCTCTATATCCATCCCATGCAGGAGACCTAGGAATCCGTCCTCCTCATTCTCAGGCTGGGGAGATGGCCTTTAGAAGCTCACTGTTACTTAATGTGTTGCTTTCTCTAGCTGCACCGTTGGGGATCTTCAAAGCAAGATTGATGGCTTGGAAAAGACAAATTCAAAACTTCAAGAAGAGGTTTGTAACTTACTGAAGTTCATAGAACAGAATGGCCCAAGCTGAAGAGCAATGGTGTGACTGAGGTGTCGGACTAGAGCCGCTCGCCGATCGGAGTGGGAATTGCTGAGCTTGGGTTGAGCGGCACAGGGCAGGGGGGTCATGGGTTCTCAGAGTGCTGCGTCCTCAGGGTGTCTGTGTTTCACCCTGTCCAGGGCTTCCCTCAAGCCAGTTCTAAGTGACTTAGGTTTCAGCACCTCCCAGGGGACCCGGGGAAGACCAGGCCTCCTCGGGAAAGCCCAGCTTCTGTGCTGAATGTGCTTTTCTCTTCCTCTTTACCCACCTTCCTCTGATATAGTCTGTCCCCCTGCTGCCCAGAAGGCACAGACTCTGTTATGAGGTAAAAGTCACCCTTGCCCACCCCTTCTGTGTTTCGGCCTCTCAGGAGCATGCAACCAGTCTCCCCACAGTGTGGTCTTTCTCTGCTTTCTCACTAGGAAGAGAGAGAATGAAAGGACAGGAAGAAGGAGGGCTGAGGCCGAGGAAGAAAGCTTGCTGCCCGCTGCCCGGCAGTCTCCTTGGTGGACACATCTTGTCTCCTGTTAGCAGGAGGGGGGTTGCTCAGCCTTTCTGAGGCTTTCCACAGGTAGCGGTCCCTGGCTGCTCGGGCCTCCCCACCAGGTCTCCCTGGGGAGGAAGAGGGCTGTGACAGGGGCCAGGATGTGACCCCCCACCTCAGTGTGGAAGCAGGTTATGGCCAAAGGAGAAACACAGAGCATGTCTTTGTATGGAGAGCCCAGTTGAAGGCTTACTCTGAACTGACTGCTCTCTCCCCTCCGGGGCCAGGCCTGAAGAGTTTTAATGAGAGGAGCTCAGATTTGTGTGAGGAGAAAGCATTCACAGATGAGCTTCACGGGAGCAGCTTCACCACACTTAGAATCAGAGGCCCTGAGATTCCTTTGGGTGGGTGGGCCTCTGGGCCTCAGTTTAGGTAGGCAGGTCTTTGGGCCTCAAGGTTCTCATCTCCAGATCGGATGATAACCCATACCTTCCAATGTCCTTGTAAAAGTTAACACTGTGTTATATAAATGTGCCTAATACAACACTTGGCATGTGGAGACATTAGTTAGTTGATTTTAGAACAAACATTGATTCTTTGTTCTCCCTGGTGAGGTGGCATACTTTCAAGGAAGGTCTCATTTAGCTTTAGAAACTAGACAACCAGGTTATTTTTTTCTTCAAAGGCCAACAGTTGGAAGAGAAAACATGCTTTAGAGAAACGTCCCTCTCTCCAGGGTGTGTTCTCTCAGTCTTCAGGGAGGGGAACAGGAGTTAGCATATGGCTTTCGCCTGCCTCTTCCCTTGTGGCAGCTAGCAACTCCTAAAGCCTTCAGGTTTCTTACTTGAGCACAGTAGTTTGTGTTGAAAGACCCCAGTTATGGGTCCTGAGTCCGCTTGGACTTAGATGCTGGTGACAAAGAGGAGCAAGGAGTTCAGAGCTCCAGGGCCTCCCTCCCTGAGTGATGCCAGGAGCACAGGCCAAGTTCTCATCTTCTTGCCCCTTCCCCAGCCTGCCCCTCTCTCCAGGCTGTGTGTAGAAGCTGGAGAAGGAGAGGCAGGCAGGTGTGGTCACACCTCTCTGGCCGCCTCTCCTGAGAGCCTCCCCCTTTGCGGGTCTGTAAGGCATCCTGTTTGTACACACTTTGCCAGAAAATAGGGTGACTCCTTTGGGGACAGGAAGAGGACTTTCGAGCGCCCGTCCTCAATGGTTTGGTTGTGATTCCTCCCTCCAGAAGATTTTCACTCTCCCTTTACTGATAAAATATCTTTTTGCTTATCAGCTAGGAAAACTGAAAAGAATGAAGACTCCGGAAAAAAAGCCCATAATCCTTCTGCTAAGCAAGAGCTACTGTCGTCATTGGCGTTTATATAATCCCCAACTTCTCCTAAGCATTTTTAACATAGGGTGATTTTTTTAATTAGAAGTGAGAACATTCTATATGACCCACGTTTTTACCCCTGTTGATATTATACCCTGAGTATGTTCTCAAGTCATTTGAATCCTTTGCAAACATTTTACTCACTACGTGTCTGTTTGACGCTCCTACTGTCATTAATTAAACAGTCTCTCCAGTATTGGACATGCAAGTGCCTATCATTGTGTCCATACATTTTGCCCATGTTAACTAGTTTGCTCTCATTTTTTTTTAATGTGAATGTATTTCCTATTCAAAACAAAATAAAAAACAAAATAGCAAATAATGCAGAAATCCATCGCCAGTTGTGAAGATGCCAAACATCAGCTTTTAATTTGAACAGTAAGATGAGTTTTGATGTTAAGGAACATAAAATCTTTCTTTATCAGCTTTCAGCTGCAACAGACCGGATTTGTTCACTTCAAGAAGAGCAGCAACAATTAAGAGAACAAAATGAGTTAATTCGTGAAAGAAGTGAGAAGAGCGTGGAGGTGAGATCCTGGCCTCACTGGGGCATCCTTGTTTGGGGCGTCTTTGCCCTCTCACCCCACCTGCAGGCCACTTGGACCACCACTTCCTCACCTCTGGGCCTTTGCACTTGAAACCTCTGCTCACAGGCTGGTCCTCTGTGATGCCACCCCTGGTGCCCATCTGTAGCCCTGGGCCCCCTGCCCCTACTCCCATAGCTCTTTGTGCCTCCCTCTGTTAGAGAAATCCACCCAGTGCTAAAGATCATGCCGGATAAGTGAAAATCCATGCTGAATGATGCACTGAATGGAGGCCTTTCCCCACTAAGTACTACTCTGCTTTAAAGAAAATTAAATATAAATTATTTTCCAAACCTAACTATTCAAAAGTCTATTGGCTTGCTTTTATCCTTCGAGTTCAAAGATTTTTTTAAGATTTTATTTATTTATTCATGAGAGACAGAGAGAGAGAGGCAGAGACACAGGCAGAGGGAGAAGCAGGCTTCATGCAGGGAGCCCGATGTGGGTCTCTAGGATCACACCCTGGGCTGAAGGCGACACTAAACTGCTGAGCCACCGGGGCTGTCCCAAAGATATTTTTGAAATAGCCTTTAGCCTTTCTCTATTATGCTTAAAAAACAGGGGCACCTGGGTGGCTCAGTGGTTGAGCATCTGCCTTAGTAGGCTCAGGTCATGATCTCGGGGTCCTGGGTGTGAGTCCCACATCAGGCTACCCGCAGGAAGCCTGCTTTTCCCTCTGCCTGTGTCTGCCTCTCTCTGTGTGTCTCTCATGAATAAATAAAATCTTTTTTTAAAAAATAGAAATTATCCTACATCTTTAAAAATTGTGGCATATTTTTTAATGTTCCTTTTTTCTTCTTTTAAATAGGCTCTATGCCCAACCTAGGGCTTTGAACTCATGACCCTGAGATGAAGAGTCACAAACTTTACCGACTGAGCCAATCAGACATCCTTAGGGTGTATTTTAAAATATTTTGTAGGTAGGACACCTGGGTGGTCCCAGTCCTGGGATCCTGGGATCAAGTCCTGCATTGGGCTCCCTGCTTGGTAGGGAGCCTGCTTCTCCCTCTGTGCCTCTCCCCCACTTGTGCGCATACTTTCTCTCTTTCTCTCTCAAATAAATGAAATCTTTATTTTTTTTAAAAGAAACTGTTCCTTTTTTTGTTTAAGATTTTATTTATTCATGAGAGACCAAAGAGAAAAAGAGGCAGAGACATAGGCAGAGGGAGAAGCAGGCTCCTTGCAGGGAGCCTGATGTGAGACTCGATCCCAAGACTCTGGGATCATGCCCTGAGCCAAAGGCAGGTGCTCAACCGCTGAGCCACCCAGGCATCCCATAAATGAAATCTTTAAAAAAAAAGTTAAATTCTTTGTAATTAGCTCACTTCCATAAGCAAACCATTCCTCTTGGCATTCTTTTTGATACAGATAACAAAGCAAGATACAAAAGTTGAGCTGGAGACATACAAGCAAACTCGGCAAGGTCTGGATGAAATGTATAGTGACGTATGGAAGCAGCTGAAAGAGGAGAAGAAAGTCCGTTTGGTGAGTGTACAGGACTGAGCATCTTTAGAAGGAATTCCCCAGGAAGCCCGCCAGGTTCTTTGTCGGTACTTTTCACACACCTGCTTAGATCTGCCTTTTTTTTTTTTTTTTTTTTTTTAAGATTTTATTTATTTATTCATGAGAGACAGAGAGAGGCAGAGACAGGCAGAGAGAGAAGCAGGCTTCATGCAGGGAGCCAGATGTGGGACTCTAACCCAGGACTCCAGGATCACGCCCTGGGCCGAAGGCAGACACTCAACTACTGAGCCACCCAGGCATCCCTAGATCTGCTTTTTAAAAACAAATGAGTCTTTTATATAAATTTTTTCAAGGGTGAAAAAATATATTTACGGAGAATCAGATCGTCCCTTTAAAAAAAATTTGGGAGTGGGGCACCTGGATGGTTCACTCAGTTAAGTGTCTGCCTTAGGCTCAGGTCATGATCCTGGAGTCCTGGGATAGAGCCCTACATCAGGCTCCCTGCTCGATGGGCAGACTGCTTCTTCCTCTCTGCCACTTGTACTCTCACTTACTCTTTCTCTCTCAAATAGATAAAATCTTTAAAAATAAAATATTTTTAAGGGCTTACTTAGTTTACCACGAAGTTCTGCATTTTTGCCAATTTTATCAGCCTTTGTCAGGGATCATCGTGAGATCAGAATCGTGATTGCTTTGCCAGTACACTTCCCTCAGTCACAGCCTCTGGTCTGTTTCTTTCCACTCAATCTATATGCCAGTGACCAGTGTTTTGTTTTTTTGTGTTCTTACAAGTAGGCTCCACGCCCATCGTGGGGCTTGAACTCACAACCCAGAGATCAAGACTCACAGGCGCCTTGATCTAGCTAGGCGCCCAGCCAGTGTTTTTTATTAGACCCAGCTCTTAGACATGCTTTGTTTCTTTGCTTCATTGCACGAATGTGGAGACATATGTCCTGAATTACCCAGGACGGAGCTGGTTCAACATGGTCACACCCTTATTGCCATAATCTAGCAACAGAGTCCCAAAACTCCAACATTGCAGCGTTGCATTGTTGGGCAGACATTTTCTGAGACTGTGCATCCTGGTCTTCAGGTTTAATGAACATTGTTGGTAGAACTCGAGTCTCAGAGTGCCACCTGCCAGCTTGCCTCTTTTTTTTTCTTTCTTTTTTTTTTTCTTTTTTTTTTGGTAAGATTTTATTTTTATTTATTCGTGAGAGACAGACAGAGAGAGAGGCAGAGACAGAGGCAGAGGGAGAAGCAGGCTCCATGCAGGGAGCCCAGTGTGGGACTTGATCCCGGGATCACAACCTGAGCCAAAGGCGAATGCTCAACCACTAATCCACCCAGGTGTCCCTGCCAGCTTTCTATTGACTGCTACGGAGCCAGTCACTATAAAATGAGAAAAAGGGAAAAATTTAATCCAGTTCTGTTCCAGACAGACTCTCCTAGATCTCCCTAACCTCTTCTGACTTGGGGTTTGTATTTCTGGCCCTGCCCAAGAGACACCTTAGAAAAACATATCTCTCTGTCTACTTCAATAACACTTGCCTTATTAATATGCTCTGAAGGAACTGGAAAAAGAACTGGAGTTACAGATTGGAATGAAGACAGAAATGGAAATTGCCATGAAGCTGCTAGAGAAGGACACCCACGAGAAACAGGACACCCTGGTTGCCCTCCGCCAGCAGCTGGAAGAAGTCAAAGCCATTAATTTACAGATGTTCCACAAAGTTCAGGTGAGTGGGCTGCGTGTCCGTACCGCAGGCTGGCTTTCTGCTGCTTGTTGCATGCTGCCTTTACGTCCATCCCCATTCTTTCTGCAGGAGAGAGGAGGACACCTCTGCGAGGCCTGGTCCCTAGGCCCTGTCGCACCTTCCTGCGCTTAGTTATTTGAGCCTCCCAGTGGTCCCCAAGAAAAGTTTGTAACAGGGTGGGGGGCCTAAGGACAGGGTCAAACCCAGTGACTGTGTCAAGTGCCCGGACTGGCACAGCTAATACATAGGCCTGAAAACGGAACAGTGTCTTCTGAATCCAAAGTTGAACCTGTCCTGTCTTTCCCTTTGCTGTCTCTATCATTTGTCTGCCCCGAGGAGATGGAGAAGCGGAATGAGGCGCCCTAGAAGTTAGTATTGCCTTCTCAGGCTTTGCCGTGATGTTCATCTAGCTGGGTCTCCAGCCTCGCCGCTGGCAGGTCGCCTCTCCTGTCATCTCCAAGGGATCATGCCACAGCTTGAAAGTAGCATCTGAGGTGGCAGAGCTTCCTTGCCCAGAAGCTACGGCAGTCCCTGGAATCATCCTCTGTCCTTCTCCAAACTTCTTTCTTGTTCTGAAGTTCTCTTTTCTGTTTTTAATGTTCAGACTGACCCACTTCCTCCTCCCTAGCTGTGCTCTGACTCTCCTGCATCTGTGTGAGAGAAGGCGTGAGGGCAGACACACGTGTTCTTTTGCCCTGCCTTTTTTAAACTGTTATATAACTGACATTATAATAATAGCAGCCATGGAAATTAAAGCATAGGGAGAAAATGGGAAACAGTTTCACTGTGTTCCCTCCTGACACACTCTCTGTTTTAATCTGTGTTTTCTTCTGCTTTGGGCCAGTCTGTAAACTTAATATTAAATGCACGTCAGGGGAAACCATACCACTGTAATAACTTAGCAGACCCTAAAGTAGAGAGCATTCCAGACCAGCAGTCTTGTTCCTCATAGCTATGCAGGGACCCCGGTTCGTGGCAGCTCCAGCTGTCCAGGCCACTCTAGTGGGTGCCATTCTTGCCACCCGAAGGGGAAAGAAGAGCAAAAATCCAGAGCCAGGATTTCCTCCCAGACAACAGCAGAGAAGTTGGACACATCATTCCGTTCAATTGCACAGCCAAGGGCGAGGTAGCATGGCCAGGCGTGGCTATGAGGGGGCCATGAGGCTGCCATGTCTGGGCTGCCAGCCAGAAAGGGGGTAGCATCAGGGCTGGGAGACCTGGTTGTCATTACCACCATCAGCCCCACTGAGCTCCTGGAAGTCCCATCCAGTCCCAGAATCCTCACCATCCACAGCCCCTGGGTGACAGGCAGCACTCCCCATAGAGCCTGGGAGGCCTGTGTTCGAACCACAAGATGAACCATTTTCCTCATGTTAACCCATCCCACCCAGCATCAGACAGTAGAGCTGAAACAGGACTGCCAGGTGCCTGTTTGCAAAGGGAAATGAGAGACATGCAGGGCAGACCCCAGCCAGCTGTGGCCATCTTTGGGTCGGCTGGGGAGGAACCGTGAAGGCTGCCCAGGGTACCGGGGGCTCCATTTGTTGGCACATCTGGCTCCCCTTCCTCTGTCGGCTGAAGAACTAGTCAGCCCACCTCTGGCCCCTGAGAGGTCCACCATCTCCATGGCCCATTGGAAGTGGGCTCTCAGGGAGTGCGGCCTTCCCAGTGGCTGGCTGCACGGCAGTGTCTATCTGCTGGCCTGCGGTTGTCTTAAGGATCAAACAGTCACAGGATGTCTTCAGGCCCCACTCATGGTTTCTTTGCAGTGCAGTCCCCTGAGTCATTGTCTCCGTCTGTTTCCCCTCATCTGGGTGTCAGTGAGCAGGTCATTGTCCCGTGTACCTGCCTCACTGCTTCACTCCATTAGTCCTTCCCTCCCTCCTATCAGCGGCCAGTGATCTGCAACAATAGGCCAACGGGTGCTTTCCTTTCCTGTACCTCGGATCTCTACTGCAGGGTGTCCTGGGACCTTCAGTGTTCACTTTGTGGTTTCTCTCACTCACTTCAGGGCACAGAAGCAGGTGGCTTTGCTAACCTGTCATGCCCCTGCCCTTGGACTCTGCTCCTGTCCCACCTCTCTGCAAACCCTTCACTCATGGCCCCTGTCCAGACTGTTTGCCCTGCCACCCAGACCAGCTCTCTGGCTCTCTACAGCCACTGCAGCCCCCGCACACTTGGTGTGAATTCCAGGTTTGGGCAAGTGACACTTTTGCTAATTGTCTGCCATAATTAACAACGGTCACCGGCTCTTGGGCTTGTCACAGCTGCTTGGACGCTCCGAGCCCTGGACTGCTGAGTCAGTGCTGCGTGCAGTACATTTCCTGGGGCAGCAGCACACCCCCCACCTTCCCTCTTGTACGGCTGGGTTTCAGGCAGGGGATTTGATATTGTCCCTCAGGTCAGGGTACGCTATAATAAAACACTTCCCGTTTTATTTTATCCTCATGCCTACTCTCATCCTTGTCCTTTTGGGCCCATATTCCACAATGTTTATTTTTGTATGGGTATTTGTCATTCTAAAACACACATCATTTTGAGTATGTGCGTTTTAATTTATATAGGTGGTATTGTGCATGGCTCTCATCTCATCTTTTTTCCCTCAGAGCTACATGCATCTTGGGTGTATCTGGTTTGGGCTTCAAAGTGGTTAGTCCTGGTATATGCATCACTGCCTCTTGCCCATTCCCACTGCGACAGTGTTCTGTTCCTGCCACTCCACTGGCACAAACTAACACTGGGGTACACATCCCCCCAGGGGGCTTGGGAGGGTCTCTCTAGCAGATAGAAAGTGGAGTGCCTGTCGGACAAACACTTCCTTTGTGTCCTTGGTTTGTGGAAGCCCAGTTGTGTTGCTTTCCAGGGGACTGCACCAGTACACACCGTCCCCTCCAGCCCTGTCTGGCCACATCTGTATTGTGAGCATGCTTGTTTTATATGCATTTGTCAGCCTAGTAAGTATTAGCGTCCCTTCATATGTTTGTTAGCCATTCATGTTTCCTGTTCTTGCTGGGTCATGTTTCTTGTCCTTGTTTCTTTTTTGAATTGAAGTATAGCTGACACTAGTTTCAGGCGTACAACATAGTGAATCGAGTTCTGTTACACAGTGCTCGTCACAATAAGTGCAGTCACCATCTGTTACCATATGACACAATTACATTGTTATTGACTATATTCCCTGCACTATATTTTCCATCCTTATAACTTACTTAATTTGGAAGTGGAAATTTTACCTCTCCCATCTTCTGCCCCTCTAGAAGCAACTGGTTTGTTCTCCGTATTTTTTAGTCTTTTTCTGGTTTGTTTGGTTTTTTAGATTCCACATATAGTAGGAAAATCATAGTTTTTGTCTTTGACTTTCTGATTTATTTCACCTAGCATGATACCCTCCAGATCTATCCATGTTGTTGCAAATGACAAGGTCTCATTCTTTTCTTTTTCTTTTTTTTTTTTTTTTTTTTAAGATTTTATTTATTTATTTATTCATGAGAGGCAGAGACACAGGCAGAGGGAGAAGCAGGCTTCATGCAGGGAGCCCAACGTGGGACTCAATTCCAGGTCTTCAGGATCAGGCCCTGGGGGTGAAGGTGGCACTAAACCACACCACTGAGCCACCCGGGCTGTCCAGGTCTCATTCTTTTCAAAGACTAATATTCCATTTTATATATGGACCACTTCTTCTTTATCCATTCATCAGTCGATGGACACTTGGACTGCTTCCACATCTTGTCCTTTGTAAAATAATGCTGTAGCGAATGTAGTGGTGCAGATATCTTTTTGAACTTGTGTTTTCTCCAATGAAATTACTGGATCATATAATATTTCTGTTTTTAAAGATTTTATTTATTCATGAGAGACACAGAGAGGCAGAGACATAGGCAAAGGGAGAAACAGGCTCCTCACAGGGAGCCTGATGTGGGACTCAATCCCGAACCCCACGATCATGCCCTGAGCCAAAGGCAGATGCTCAATTGCTTGAGCCACCCAGGTGTCCCCTATTTTTAATTTTTTGAGGAATTTCCAGACTGTTTTTCACAGTAGCTACACCAGTTTACAACCTGCCCCTGCCCACACAGTGCAGTGAGGCAGGCACAAGAACTGTGTTTAATAAATGAAGCAGTAAACTGTAGTCACCGACACATGGATTGAGGGGAAATAAACAGCAGATACAATGACTGAGGGGACTGTATCGTCAAAGAAACCACGAGTCAGGCATGAAGAACATCTGTGACTGGTCCCGAATGCAACCTCCAGGCCAGCAAACAGATCATCAGAAAGCTGGTCTCCTCCTCCACCAGCACTTGTCATTTCTTATCTTTTTAGCACTGGCTATTGTCCCCAGTGTCCAGTGACATCTCAGCGTGGTTTTGATTCTCATTTTCCTGATGGTTAGTAATGATGGGCATCTTTTCACCTGCTGTTGGCCATGTGGATATTTTCTGTAGGAGAACGCCTGTTCGGGTATCTCTGTCCATTTTTAATCAGATTGGTTTTGTTCTTGTTTATTGTAGGAGTTCTTTGTATATTTTGGATACTAACTCCTTATCAGACATAATTGCAAATATCTTCTCCCATTCAGTAGGTTGCTATTTTATTTTGTTGAATGGCTTCCTTCACTATGCAAAAACTTTGTAGTTTGATGTTATCCCAACAGTCTGTACTTTGTCTTTTGCCAGAAAAATATTGCAAAGGCCAGTGTGCCAAGAGATTGCAATCTATGCTCTATGGTTTTAGGTCTCACATTTAAATCTTTAATCCATTTTGTGATGTATGAAAGTCGTCCAGTTTCATTCTTTTGCATGTAGCTGTCCAGTTTTCCCAGCACCATTTGTTGAAGAGACTGTCTTTTCTCCATTATATGGTCTTGCCTCCTTTGTCATAGATTAATTGACCATATGATTTACTCCTGGGCTCTCCTGTTCCATCAATCTAGGTGTCTGTTTTCATTTGAGTACCATAGTGTTTTGATTATTACAGCTTTG